CCCTGGGAAAAATGTCAGACTTCTTTTGCATTTATGGAGCATGATATTATTTATTAATTCTGAAACACGATTTTGTTGGTAAATAAGAGCGAGAATTCGCGTTGCCCCTCTGATATTTCGCCCTTGGTGTGGGCCGTTTTCGCCACCCCTCCGTCTCTGCACTTGCATGAAGAGTGAATTGATAGTTGAAAAATACCAGTCGAGTATTAGACGGAATTGTCAAGGTTAAGCAAATAAGGTAGTGGAATTAAATGGAAATGACAAATCCTTATCTCTATCTTTATACAGGTATTCCACTAAGACGCCCATCAGGATTCAGTTGAAAAATACCATTCATAACAATGGTTTCAGTTTTTGTTGATAAGCTGACCGCAAAATCCGCGCCAATCGAAGTAGGTCGCGCTGAAGAAGTGACGTGTTTGAATTTTGCTCCCGTGTTTAACAAATTGTGAAGTTTCTTGCGAACATGTGTTTTGGCGTATTGGAATGTTTGAATCTTAGACTGGAACAGTTAGAGCTGATCGGAACAGGGATCGTGAGCCAACATCTGGAGGTTCGTCGACAATGCTGCAATGACGGTGCGTTTATTCCGATGCACTTCTTCCCGAAGCCAGAACAAGGGGAAACTGATTTTGTTATCATCAGGATCAAGGAGATGGAGCTCCATTTGCGTGAACAATTGATCGTAAGAATCACGAAGAGGCGGGCTAATTACAGAACATTCGTGTGAGATCCTTCCTTTTTATTGCATTTGTTTGCATTATAATTCTATTAGTATTCATAAAACTTTACCAAATTATGTCTCAGGGTTTGAATTGAGGAGCTCGGCTAGCTTGGAGGCTGCCGCTTTTGCTTACTGAGTAGAAGATCGTGGGTTGGAAAGCTATTTACTCCCAAATAGTTTTCCCAAGGGGTGAGACATCTTTACTCTGAGTTGCTTTTTTGCAGCGAGTAACTCGCGAGTAACTCACTGTACCTCAAAATTTAGTCGACGTTCATTGATGTTTTTGTCTGGTTACTTCGTTTATCCCTTTCACATGTTAGACGTAAGTCTTGTTTGTAAACAAAATAGAATTGTTCGGCTATTGAAACGATGAGAATTCCAGATTTTGTTCAGAAAATGGCTTGAACGATGCTGGAAAAGTTTCGAAAGGGGGCGCATTGGCGTGGATTTTCATCTGCTTCTCTGTGTCGATTGACTGCTGTTGCTGCTGTTATTGTTTTGGAAGTGCTTTTTGTTTCTATTTCCCAAAATGTTCTGTTTCAAAACACTGAATATGATTTAACTTTAGGTAGGTTGACATATGCGATTTGTTCTCGTAAAATAACCACAGGAATCGTTTTCAGATGTCCACCGAGGAGAACGTGAAATCGTTGTGGGAAATCACTGACATACATAGTAAATATCTTCCCTGTTGGATAAAAACCTATTAACATCCGATTCCCAATTCCAGCTCCGAAGGAAACGCTGCCAACCACTACCCCAGAATGTTCAGCCAGAGCATCCACACAGTCGACACTGCTGAAGTCGAAGAGGAAGAAGATGATGAAGACACAGCTGCCAATGTTTCCGGTGGGTATGATCCTCATCCGGACATCAAACCCATCATCGATCTACCCGACGAAATCGAAGTGAAAGCCGGTGAAGAAGACGAAGAACAAATGTTATGCATTCGCTCCAAGCTACTGCAGATGGTTCAGAAAAAGTGGAAGGAAAGGGTTCTTGGCGATCTGAATATTTTCAAGAGTATATCCGATCCAACCAAGTACAGGATCATCGGTATAGACTTTGCTAACGAGAAACCGAAGAACGAAATATGTTCCGAAGATAATGAATAATAGTTTAAAAACGGAGACTTCCTTCGACGGCCGCAGCAGGATCTCGGTGGTGTATCGCAGTAAACGGTCCATTTCACGATCCCAGTTTCATCTAGCGGCAGGTTGTTGAGCGATGGGAACGCGATCACTTCGAAGAGTATCGGAGTACGGCGGGGTACGCATAAATTACTGGATCTGGAGTATTTGGTCAGGCGGATCGAGTTCTTCTACCACATCAAGCCGGTTGTTTGTTGTTGTTTTGCTTGACAGCAGCTTTTCGGCTTCGCACCTTCATATGTTGGTGTGATGTGAAAAGAGAGAATGCAAATGACAGTGATCTTGCTCACTGAGCAATGTGAGTAACTCGAGGTGCCTCAAAAGCAACTCTAAAATTGCTCATGATTAGGAGCTGTCTTACCCCTTGAGTTTTCCTTAGGAAATTAGAATAAGAACGTCAAAGTACATACATGACAGTTGCCATTATGCAATCTACGAATTACTCCGTTGCAAACGCAACGCAACGGATTTTTTAGCTTTTAGAACGATTCTGAGACGTAAACTTACAGCTATCCCCCGAAGAACGCGTTACGCACTGAGTTGCTTCTTCTTCTTCTTATGCACATTTCAAGCTTATTGCTTAGCGCATATTAGCTTACTGCGTGCTTTTATCTTAGTGTTCTAAATGCACTTCCACAGTTATTAATTGAGAGCTTTCGATGCCAATTACCAATGCATGAATTTGTATATTGTGTGGCAAGCACAATGATACTCTATGCCCAGGGAAGTCGAGAAAATTTCCAACCCGAAAGATTCCCTCGACAGGACCGGGAATTGAACCCGCCGCCTCCGGCTTGGTAATACCGTGCCTTTACTGACTAGGCTATGAGGCCCCATAACCCCACCGCACCCCCAGTTGCGCCCACCGCTTTTTCACGGCGGGGTTTCAACCAGTCGGTCTGATTTTTTGCATGTGAGAAGGGTCAATGGAGAACTAGTCACTCGTAGAAAATCAGAGCGCTTGGTTGAAGGCCCCCGGGGAAAGCTCTATTTGAATTTCTGGATATAAAAAACTAATAGGGTTACGGGATGTGAAGGAAGACATTCCGCGCAACTACCATAAACCGGACTAGTTCATGTTGATCTTCGTCAAGCTTCGTCTACAATTTTGACTTATACATCAACACATATGCAACCAAAAACAGTCATACAAAGGTTATATAAACTGTTATAGAACATGTGTGTTACTCGGGACCTTCAATTGGCTAAACTTGGTGAGTTCGTTTCATTTTGTACATTTTTATCTTTTCAAACCAGTAACGTTGGAAGATCACCTTTTTGTGGCGCGTTACTGGTATAAGATCTACCACTGAGCCCCCCTTAAAACTAGGGAATCAGGATTTTCCAGTAATCAAAGAATCACATTTGAGTCCTTGTTACTTTTAATGACTTGATAATAGTGACAAGACTCGGGTAGTGACCTTTGTGCCATTATGCATTTCTATATTGTATATTTCAAATCAAAAATATTGTTTATGTTCATAGATTTCACATAATCCTTTTCCCTTTGTCCTTCTCCTTTTCCTTTTCCTCTTCTCTTTTCAGAAAGCGAGTAATGGCGCTATAGCCATAAGTCATAAAAGGCTAGGACAAAAGCTAGTGCTCATGCCCCATCCGTCAGAAAAAATGGAGCATCACTTAACCTTTCTAGCTTTGATGCTTCCAATGACCAACCAATCATATAATTACCAAAATCAGAACGTACGGTACGAGATGTCCACGTTTCATCCATTTATTGGATTCTGAAGCATCGTGTTTAAATCTTCGATTTAAGCAGGCCAGATGTTATCTGAATCATCTTGTCCCTTAAATGCTGCACAGTAGGCCTGGTCGTTTTGATATGTGTGGTGCATATTCGATGTGATATGTATATATATATCATTTTCCATGATGCTTTAAAGAACTGGCTGTGTTGGTGTTAGATTATATTAGATAAGCTGACCGCAAAATCCGCGCCACAGAACTATAACTATACACGCGAAATCCACGCCAGCTGTAACAGCCCTGCCAATTTTTGCTCATATTTAAGAAAAAGTCCTCTTTACCACATAGAATTTTTCATTTGATTTGCTTGGTTGTTTTGTGATTTGCAAGGTTCAAAAAACTTGCGATATCTTCAATTGCTTTACATTCTCATCAAAACATCGAGTTTCTATCTTCAAAAACCCTACGCACGCTACTGTGATCATGTTCGCTTATGTGACGACGCCGTCGGGAGAATTGTTGGCATACCAACCAAAAATTTGCTCAGCACTCGAGAGAGGCCAAAGCTGAAACTCCACACCGTCGATGTCGCAGTCACTGCCGTCGCTTGCCAAGTGACGACCAAATGAACGAACAGGTCGAGAGGCAAACAACAGCAAGATAGCAGGCAAAGAGCAAAGATCGACTCCGCGATTTGTTTGTTTTTAACTGCGCGCGATCCTCATGTCGAAAATGCCAAACAAAGCATGCTGCAGAAGCAAGAAAGCACCAAACGCAATTCACCCGAATCAGCAACCTGTTAGGGGGTTTGAAGATGTTTTGTTAAATTTCAAAGAGTAACACTGCAAATTACGGAAGATTGGAACTCGTCCGAAACGGGCACTTCAGAGTCCAGACAGATGGGGTTGAGTCGAGAATCGAGCGGCAATTTTCTCATCAGCTACAATTTAGCAATCATAAGTGGAGCTCTGAACATCTCGCGGTGAAGATCCAACCAACACGGCCGGTGCGAGTGGCTCAGTAGCTGCGTAGAATTACGTAACATTTTCCATACTTTTCCAGGAAAAACTACTTGAATATGAGGAAAATCAACCAATACTTTACTCCGTCTAGGAGTATACTGAAAACGAATCTTACTCAGAGTGTGTGAGTAAGTCACTTTTACTCATTCATATGGAGAAATTTCTCACTGTGTAACCCCGATTAAATGTTGCGTTACTCTCATCGGCCGTGAGAGACAACAGCAGGCAATTTTCTCATCAAGAGCAAGCCTCCGTTCTCGTCCAGACGGTAGCGCTCGGGGGAGTTGTGTTTTTAAGAGCATTTTTTTTTTACGATTTAGATATGGAAGAAGACTTGGGCAACAACCTTCGAGTTGAGAGTGGATTTCGTGGAATGATGAATTTATGATGGATACTCACACTTTTGCTTCATGCTGTTGATCGAGTTGCACATGCTGACAATCTCCAGCGTCCGGTAGTTCCGGAAGAGAGCACCGACGCACAGCCCGATGATGATCCCGAACAGCCCGTACAGGATCTTCTTCCGCTGTGACATTATTCTACCTATATTGCTCACTATATCACTATTCTAGCTCACAGCACACACACGCACTCACTCTAACACAAATCTAGACACACAACCGATCCGCACTCGAATCGCTTGGGCAATTTCCGCCGGATCGGATCTTGATAATCTCTTTGCAGTAGAAGGTTTTTAGCGGACAAAAGTAGTAACACTGCTGCTGCTGCCGCCGGTGGTAGTTCCATTTGCCACCAGCTGGGTGAATCCAGGAAGACAACGAAGCTGCTGAACCACGTTGATCAATGGGAAGTATCATGTTAGATCTGAAATGAAGCGCACAGCAGAGGGAGAGAAAAAAACGTTCAAGTTAGTAATTTCATTTGGACAGCAAAAAAAAAGAACGGAGACCTTGGCGCGATAATCACACTTCAATCACATTTTAGAAGCCCGGAGCGAGAGACACCTTTGCCACCGCGAAGCAGTTAGAGACTATACATATAATTAAGACTATTTTTCATAATTATGTTTTGTTTTAGTCAGTCACAAACACATCTGGCTAGAGTGAAGGGGGGCGGTCCCACACGGGAGCCAGATCTGGCGAACGTCGCGGTAATTGATTCTCAACAACCGAGCAATGTCATTTGAAATTCAAAGCTAGCACAAATTGGGCCTGGTGAAATTCTCACACACGTAGAGAAGAGAGAATGCAACTATAGGTTCTTTTTTTGGCGTTGCTTTCGTTCGCTTTAAGATGTATTCACATCTGAGCGTGCATTAGCTGAGCGGAGCAAAATTTGCGTTTGCATTAAGCTGGGTTTAGACAGGGCAAGTCAATTGATCAAGTCAGTTAAATTCAACTGACTTGAACGCGAATTGAACGTGTAAACCATGCCATTCAACTGACTTGATCAACTCACTTGAATTGAAAAAAGTTGAACCAGGCTCAACTTTTCAAGCCAATTGAATTCAACTGAGTTGATCATTTGACTTGCCTGGTCTAAACCCAGCTTTAGAAAGATAACTGGTACTTTTCTCCCTCCCGTATCTTCGCAAATCTCGCCCCGCGCGTGAAATATCGCTCAGGATGGAATCCACCTTTAAAGTCGAGGAGGATTTATCGATTGTTCACGCGGTTCGGAGCGTTGCGCAACAGTAGACACTTCCACAACGGGGGAACAACTGGGGGCGCACAAATATAAACAACTACCTTCCTACCTACCTACTCTCCAATCATGTGCGACTGGGAATGCAAGCGATACCCACACACGTCATACGATTTTCGGTAGGAAAAACAAAACTTGCAACAAAATACGACAGACAATGTCAGTTTTCCTGCTGGCCTCACCTAATTTTTGCCGCGACGACATCGGTTCCGATTCGTTTTTTTTGTGCGTTTCAATGCCGACTAGCTGGTTACTGTTCTTTGATGGCGAGAGTATTATGGATGCATGATAGCAGATAAGTTCACTTTATCGAATCGAGTGGTCGATGTTTGGTGGCAGACATTCTCTGTTCTATTCCGGTATGACATCGACCGCTTGTGATGTATTGTTCGTGCGGTGTGATGAGTTAGTCATTTCTTAAAATAATAGATAACACAAACACGTTCGATCAGGCTTGACTCTTGACCAGTTCCAGGCTACATAGGATCATCAAAATATTAAAATTACTTGGAAAAAAATCCGTTCCCGAAAACGGGAACGGACCGTGAACTAAAAATCACGGCCAGCTATTCAGAACAAAATTTTCTCAAATATACACCGTGAACTATGGTTCACGGCTGTGGTTCACGAATATGGGAACTCTTTTTTTCCCGTGTAAGTCGACCTTTTCCGATTTGCATGAAACTTTGCATAATTTTGCCCCTAATTTAGGCCCATACAAAAATTCAGCAGTCGACTAAATTTTCAATAGCGACCAAACATATCCATTAGGAACGTCCCAATTCATCTAGACAAAATTGATAAATAGCAGATTTTCAGCGATGGGCCCAATCTTAGATCCATAGGCCAACATTAGAGCCAATTCATATCTTCAATATTTATATATTTTTAAAATAAAGGTAATTAAAAATATGCAATTTTTGGAGTATTTAAAACAAGGGAGGTGACTCTATCTAAGAACGAGGATTTTTTTGCTTTGCTGTTGTGAGATACGCGCACGCTTAGTAGATAGCAAGAAGATTGATGATTTTGAAGATATCCTGCAAAAAGAGCAGAGAACGATGCAAGTAGATGCGAGAAATGAAAATACAGTTGAGCATCTGGAATTAAGCTTTAGATGTGTCGTCCCCCTCGATTTAAAACCATTGACACTTTAAAATTGACAAAAATCGTTAAAAATCAACTTTTGTTCATATTTGATTTCAAGATGCGTTGTCAGTGCTGGGATCGAAACTTAGTTAAATGATAACATGATCGTAATTGTCCTGTGATATAAGGAGCTCAGTGGCGTAGAAGCGACCGATTTTGCGTACTGAGCAGAATACCTTAGGTTCAATCCCAAGCTCTTTCGCGATATAGAATCCCTAGGACATCAATTCAGCATGTCGTTTACCAAAACAAATCCTGCTTCAATCCCCACCCTTTTATCCAACATCCCAGTGGTTTCTCGTGGAAGTGCAGAGGTGTTCTCGGCTTTCATTCAAGAGAGTATTACGTCAACATATTCCTATCCATTATTTTATTGACCAGCACTCAGACGTGGCCTAGTTGTAGATCACCAGTATTTACACATTGGAGTCTATTGGTTCTCTGTGTAATTGCATCCTCGGCCGGTCAATCATGCTCGTGCTCATGCTATTTTTATTTTAAATTATTAATTCTTATATTTTTGCCTCAACACTACCATGCCTTCCGCTAGTTCGAAGTGAAATCAATAATTTATTTTATTATTTGTAGAAATAATGGTACACATTCTTGGGTACCTTGTAGCTCAGCTAATTTAAAGTAAATTAACAAAAGTAAAAACAGAATATCCCTTGAATTAACCGATTTAAATAGACCAATTTTCCACAATTGATTTAGGGTGTCATTTTTTCAAAACGCTGTATCCCAAGATATAGCAAATTTATGAAATTTACTATCACACTAGCACCGTGTTGTGAGAAAATTCTGAACTTCTATCCAGCAGTCAAAAGTCCTTGACCTACTAAACAAATTTGAAGGTTCACTTGCAAACTAGTGACGCGTAGTTTGAAAATTTTGAACTTCTATCTACCTGCAAAAGGTCTTTGACTTACTGAACAAATTTGCCGAAGACAGAATCTGCACTCCCGATCATAAGTTTAAGGACACCCCCAAAAAAACATGACAAATTTGTTATGTTCATATCTCTGTCATGTTACGTCCAATTTTCGTTCTCTTTAGATCATTTGAAAGGTTTCAATGGAACTTTCCTCGTAGGTTAATTGTTCAATATAATTTTCAAATTTTGTGTGCTAAAAGTTCACCCAAAGTTACAATATTTTTCAAAATTTACTCTGAAGAATCGTAACTGATTTTCTCAGAATTGGGTTGGCCAAATTTTGAAATAAAAGTAGTAGTAGTAGAACACTTATGCTAAAGGGCGAACACGAAATTATTGCGACACCGAAAATGTCATGCCAATTTTCTTATAATGTTTAGAATCAAACCAAAATTTTAGGGTAGTTTTATACATATATTTGCTTCAAAAATCAAAAGAAAAGTTAATCAATGGAGCCTTGAGTGTAAAATTGAACGCATTTTTGCTTGATGCCCTCCATCAAAGTCTTTACAGTGTCATCCGGTACCAGTTTCTCAGTTTTTTTTTCCATTTTCTTAACATGTCCTTCTCGTCTTTGACTGTCTTCTTGCTCTTCCGAAGTTACCGCTTCATTATTGCCCAGTACTGCTCCACCGGGCGCAGCTCCGGACAGTTTGGCGGATTCATGTCCTTTGGAACAAAATGGACAGAATTGGCCTCATACCACTCCAGGACACTTTTAGAATAGTGGCATGATGCCAAATCTGGCCAAAATAGCGGAGTTTCGTCGTGCTGCTGCAAGAACGGCAAAAGGCGCTTCTCGAGGCACTCAGATTTGTAGATCTCGCCATTTACTGTGCCCTTTGTCACGAAAGGCTCACTCCTCAGTCCGCAAGAGCAGATGGCCTGCCAAATGAGATATTTGGAGGCGAACTTCGACATTTTCTTCTTCTTAAATTTGTCGTCCACATCGAACTTGCTCTTGCCGGTGAAAAACTCCAACCCCGGAATTTGCTTAAAATCGGCTTTTACATACGTTTCGTCGTCCATCACACAGCAGCCATATTTTGTCAGCATCTTCTCGTAGAGCTTCCGTGCCCGAGTTTTAGCCGTCGATTGTTGCCGCTCATCGCGGTTTGGGAAGTTCTGTACCTTGTATGTATGTAGTCCAGCTCTCTTCTTTGCATTCTGGACGTAGCTCTGCGACATGCCGATGTTTTTAGCCAAATCACGGCTTGAGACGTTGGGATTTGCTTTAATCATCCGCTTCACCTTTCCCTCCGTCTTTTTGTTCTCCGGTCCCGGTTTTCTTCCAGCTCCTTTGCCGTGGTCCAACGTCAACCGCTCCTGGAACCGCTTCAACACTCTGGAGACGGTTGAATGGTGAATGTTCAACATTTTTCCCAACTGCCGGTGCGACAGGTCAGGAAATTCCAGGTGTTTGGAAAGAATTTGTTCTCTCAACTCGCGTTGGTTCAACTCCATTTTCGTTGAATCGAAAAACACGACTTCGAGTTTGACAGCATGTACACAATACACATCAATGAGAAAGTGTGCAAAATTTGGTTAATTTTTACCCAATGGTAAAACAGTTATGCCCTGTTGAATGTGTCGCAATAATTTCGTGTTCGCCCTTCATATCATTCATACCATACAAATAACCTTTGGAGATCGAAAATTGAACGTAAAATGAGAGAACATTGAACAAAACATATCTGCATGGTTTTTTAGGGGGTGTCCTTAAACTTATGATCGGTAGTGTATATGACCTTGATCCGAAGATATAACATATTCAGACAATTCACTTGCACACTTACTTACACCACGTAGAGATAAAATTCTGAAAATCCGTGTTGTTCGGTCGCAATGTAACAGGAGCAAGTGTGTTTTAAACAATCTAGCACCAAAAGTTAAAAACAGTTTTAAGACTGCACATCAAGCAGCGATGCCACGGTAGTTGGACACCGACTGCTAATTGCCTTTTTTGAAGACAGGGATAGCAAAACAATCCTTTCAGCCGTCGGGAGCGATCCCAGAATCCAAAGAGAGGTTGAAGACTGATGCTAAAGATGCGGCCAGGACTCCAATACAGTTCTTA